GATAATATAGCATTCCAAATTGACAACTCCCTTTGGTGTTGCATTGGGGCTTTTTTTTTTGTAAATACCCCAAGCCTTGCACCGAGTCTTCAGAGTTTCAGAATAAGAACTTTATTTCCATTCTTTCTTAACTTCATCGTGTCGTGAATTTCTATGCTTGTAAAACTGAAAAAACAAAGACAAAAAGAATACTAAAATATTAAAGTTTCGTTTTAAAACGATCGAAACAATCAAAAAAACATTTATGTTTTAAAGAAATTGAAACAAAACAATAATTAAATCAAAATTCTAATACTTTGAGTATTTCAAAATATTTTAAGATGTTTTGACATAATTCAACTAATTTTTCATAATATTTCAAATGTATTTCAAGATGTTTCAATATATTTTGATTAATAATTTGAAAATAAATTTTCAAAATTTTTATTCATTTCCATTATGTTTCCGAGACGTTTCCAAAACTATTTCGTTTTTGAGATGACCGAAACAATAAACCGAAATAAAATTTTTATCGTTGGGAATACTATAACATACTAAGAAGAGAGGTAATGAGGCGAGACAATTGAGGATTCCAATTGCAACCGCCTCTGCAAAATATAATATGCCCATGTTAAAGCACCAAAGCAAAACTTGTATTTAAATTAAAACCCACACATAAGACAGAATTATCAACTACTTCAGTTGCAGGAAGGAGCCCATAGCTTTCTGCAATTTGGTCTCCATTGTTCTCCTCTTAAGGATCCACTTCTCAGAAAACTTAATGTGCAGGTTCTTCAGCTTAGACCAAGGCTGATTTCTGCACCCAAAGGAAAGAGAAAAAAGCATAAATTCAGGATTCAAGCAAGTACCCTCGAGGTTTGCATTAAAATTTTGCACCTGACCAGATAAATAGGCAAAATTACAAGTGCACCCTAGTTGTCACTTAGATAAAGTGTGTGGAATGGCCTCACAGGGCTGTTGATGCTATCATCAGAAAGTCACAGATGGGTAAAGATTGTAGCAGGACACCTTTGTGCATCCAACCAAAGCCCAACCAGATCACGCTATCAAGGGCTAGCTCAATGGCTTCTGGCCCCAACCAATTTAGGTCAGAAGCAGGAGTGAGCAAGGAGAACTTCCAATCTAACCAATTCAAAAGTAGGCGTGTGTGTGAGTGTGTGTGTGAAAACATGTTTTTTTTTTTGTTAAGTGTGTTAAAACGCACTTGCATGGATGAAAAAGCATGGAAGTGTGTGATATCAATATGTGAACCGAGACTAATTCTGGAGCCAACTTTGGTTTTTCCATGAGATATGAGTTCAACTCAATGAAAAGGGATGACCAACCGGGGTCCAAACAAATGCAAGGGGATCAGGCACACGGACAACCAGAGCACAATGACGGAAATTTAAAATTTTCATCCTTTCAGAAATTAAAGTACCTTGCAAGTATGATTTAGAAGTCCAAACCATTGACAATTTGTTCATAGGCTTCCATTCTGATGCTTATTAAGATATGGTTCTAACAGCCCTGTTGCTGCCAATATAAGACCTACAGTTCAATAATGAAATGTTAAGAGAAACTAAAGATGTTCAGTTGAAAAGGAATTTATCAGAAGACATAAATTACCACCATTACCACTTCCCCCCCCCCCTTTTTTCTTTTTAATTTTTTTGCCCTCTTCTCCCTCCCCAACTTTACACTACAAAGTTCGGGGAAAATTAGAAAGAAAAGGTCATCAAGATTGTTTCTCAAGAGGCCTATAAATGCTCCTAAAAATGTCCACAAAAAAAACAAAAACCAATAACTATGATCCAGCACAAAGGCTTTGTGATACCTCCTATAATGATATGCCTATCATATAAAATACACAGCTCAAGCACAGATAGTGTATTTGGAAATGTAAATCCCTTGACCCAAAAAAAAAATGTTAATCCCTTGACCCAAAAAAAAAATGTAAATCACTTGACCCAAAAAAAATGTTAATCCCTTGACCGATCAGTACCTAGAAATAGAGCTGAAGGCCTGCCAGGCCGTGACTTAAATTCTGGATGAAACTGTGCTCCCACATAGAATGGATGACTTGGAAGTTCTAAAATCTGAAGAACACAGAGACAAAGATCATTAAAAAAAAAAGATAGAGAGAAACAAAATTTAGTTTGTTCTTTCACGCAGATAAAATAGCAAATAGCAATTATAGAGGCTGAAACCACCAAGCTTGAGCACATGATCAAGGTAAACCAAATCCAAGGCAAAAAAGAAAAATGAAAACAAGAAGGGAAGGGCTAGGAGGAAAAAGAAAACAAAACGAGGTGATTGTTTAACTTCGAAACTTCAAAACTATTAATATAGGTGATCTTAAGCCGAGATGACCAGTCTACCAGAAAACCAACCTCCATCCTTTTCCCAGTTTCGTCCTTCCCCACAAATTTTAAGCCAGCTTCCTCTAAAATGCCAACCACCTCTGGGTTCACCTGCACCATACATCTCATGTCTAAGCATATAATTCTATGTGCATGATAATAATATAACATGCCCATCAAAAGTTTTTGTTCAATGAAATCAGGTATCATGTTTAACCTCATATCTATGCCTATGTCGCTCATCCACATACTCTGAATTATGATACCTACAAACAGAAAGAAATTGTATAATTACGAAGCATTTATTTAATCTAAATATTCTCTGTAGCAAAAAATGGAAGCAGTGTATTACAGACCACTGATGCACCAAACAGCAACATGTGATCTGTTAGCAAAGAAGGAAGAACCAGCAAAGACAGAGAAACATAGAACGCAGAATTTAGCGTTCAACCGATNTTTTCGAATACAGGCATGTAAGAGCAACTCCAATGGGAGTGGTTTACAACTGCTAAATTATCATCTTAAATTTAAATTTTTTTACTTGGATGACATCAAGGATTGAGAAATGACAACAATGATCTTGGGTGACAATTTTCTGAACTCTGAAGAGAAAAAAAAAAAGAGGTTGTATAAAAAATTTATGTGTTTGTTTAGAAAAATTATAGCAGAAAGAGAGAAAGGTTGCAACCAAAGTTAAGTTTAATTATATTTTTTAATAAAAAGTATTAAAATAACACCCTATAAGTTTAATTATATTTTTTAATAAAAAATATTAAAATAACACCCTATTTTGACACCTGTTATTAAAACAAATTTATTAATTCAAAAATGCTAAAACACTTTTCAACGTTGCAAATAGATAATATAGCATTCCAAATTGACAACTCCCTTTGGTGTTGCATTGGGGCTTTTTTTTTTGTAAATACCCCAAGCCTTGCACCGAGTCTTCAGAGTTTCAGAATAAGAACTTTATTTCCATTCTTTCTTAACTTCATCGTGTCGTGAATTTCTATGCTTGTAAAACTGAAAAAACAAAGACAAAAAGAATACTAAAATATTAAAGTTTCGTTTTAAAACGATCGAAACAATCAAAAAAACATTTATGTTTTAAAGAAATTGAAACAAAACAATAATTAAATCAAAATTCTAATACTTTGAGTATTTCAAAATATTTTAAGATGTTTTGACATAATTCAACTAATGTTTCATAATATTTCAAATGTATTTCAAGATGTTTCAATATATTTTGATTAATAATTTGAAAATAAATTTTCAAAATTTTTATTCATTTCCATTATGTTTCCGAGACGTTTGCAAAACAATTTCGTTTTTGAGATGACCGAAACAATAAACCGAAATAAAATTTTTATCGTTGGGAATACTATAACATACTAAGAAGAGAGGTAATGAGGCGAGACAATTGAGGATTCCAATTGCAACCGCCTCTGCAAAATATAATATGCCCATGTTAAAGCACCAAAGCAAAACTTGTATTTAAATTAAAACCCACACATAAGACAGAATTATCAACTACTTCAGTTGCAGGAAGGAGCCCATAGCTTTCTGCAATTTGGTCTCCATTGTACTCCTCTTAAGGATCCACTTCTCAGAAAACTTAATGTGCAGGTTCTTCAGCTTAGACCAAGGCTGATTTCTGCACCCAAAGGAAAGAGAAAAAAGCATAAATTCAGGATTCAAGCAAGTACCCTCGAGGTTTGCATTAAAATTTTGCACCTGACCAGATAAATAGGCAAAATTACAAGTGCACCCTAGTTGTCACTTAGATAAAGTGTGTGGAATGGCCTCACAGGGCTGTTGATGCTATCATCAGAAAGTCACAGATGGGTAAAGATTGTAGCAGGACACCTTTGTGCATCCAACCAAAGCCCAACCAGATCACGCTATCAAGGGCTAGCTCAATGGCTTCTGGCCCCAACCAATTTAGGTCAGAAGCAGGAGTGAGCAAGGAGAACTTCCAATCTAACCAATTCAAAAGTAGGCGTGTGTGTGAGTGTGTGTGTGAAAACATGTTTTTTTTTGTTAAGTGTGTTAAAACGCACTTGCATGGATGAAAAAGCATGGAAGTGTGTGATATCAATATGTGAACCGAGACTAATTCTGGAGCCAACTTTGGTTTTTCCATGAGATATGAGTTCAACTCAATGAAAAGGGATGACCAACCGGGGTCCAAACAAATGCAAGGGGATCAGGCACACGGACAACCAGAGCACAATGACGGAAATTTAAAATTTTCATCCTTTCAGAAATTAAAGTACCTTGCAAGTATGATTTAGAAGTCCAAACCATTGACAATTTGTTCATAGGCTTCCATTCTGATGCTTATTAAGATATGGTTCTAACAGCCCTGTTGCTGCCAATATAAGACCTACAGTTCAATAATGAAATGTTAAGAGAAACTAAAGATGTTCAGTTGAAAAGGAATTTATCAGAAGACATAAATTACCACCATTACCACTTCCCCCCCCCCCTTTTTTCTTTTTAATTTTTTTGCCCTCTTCTCCCTCCCCAACTTTACACTACAAAGTTCGGGGAAAATTAGAAAGAAAAGGTCATCAAGATTGTTTCTCAAGAGGCCTATAAATGCTCCTAAAAATGTCCACAAAAAAAACAAAAACCAATAACTATGATCCAGCACAAAGGCTTTGTGATACCTCCTATAATGATATGCCTATCATATAAAATACACAGCTCAAGCACAGATAGTGTATTTGGAAATGTAAATCCCTTGACCCAAAAAAAAAATGTTAATCCCTTGACCCAAAAAAAAAATGTAAATCACTTGACCCAAAAAAAATGTTAATCCCTTGACCGATCAGTACCTAGAAATAGAGCTGAAGGCCTGCCAGGCCGTGACTTAAATTCTGGATGAAACTGTGCTCCCACATAGAATGGATGACTTGGAAGTTCTAAAATCTGAAGAACACAGAGACAAAGATCATTAAAAAAAAAAGATAGAGAGAAACAAAATTTAGTTTGTTCTTTCACGCAGATAAAATAGCAAATAGCAATTATAGAGGCTGAAACCACCAAGCTTGAGCACATGATCAAGGTAAACCAAATCCAAGGCAAAAAAGAAAAATGAAAACAAGAAGGGAAGGGCTAGGAGGAAAAAGAAAACAAAACGAGGTGATTGTTTAACTTCGAAACTTCAAAACTATTAATATAGGTGATCTTAAGCCGAGATGACCAGTCTACCAGAAAACCAACCTCCATCCTTTTCCCAGTTTCGTCCTTCCCCACAAATTTTAAGCCAGCTTCCTCTAAAATGCCAACCACCTCTGGGTTCACCTGCACCATACATCTCATGTCTAAGCATATAATTCTATGTGCATGATAATAATATAACATGCCCATCAAAAGTTTTTGTTCAATGAAATCAGGTATCATGTTTAACCTCATATCTATGCCTATGTCGCTCATCCACATACTCTGAATTATGATACCTACAAACAGAAAGAAATTGTATAATTACGAAGCATTTATTTAATCTAAATATTCTCTGTAGCAAAAAATGGAAGCAGTGTATTACAGACCACTGATGCACCAAACAGCAACATGTGATCTGTTAGCAAAGAAGGAAGAACCAGCAAAGACAGAGAAACATAGAACGCAGAATTTAGCGTTCAACCGATATTCTTATATCATGTTTCCCAGAACCCTATATTTCATAATAGCCTTAGTTAAATCTGGGCAAATATTTTGAGGGTTTATTATATACTGCACTAAAGATTACTCTTCGTTAATTTTCCATAATTGAGTCAAGTAATAGATACAATCTCATACAGCTTTGCAGTGATACAATCAGGGGTCTGAAATAAAGTTCTTCGACAGCCAAGTCTCATTGTGCTTCCCATGTGTGTTTTTGAACCCTGCATAGGTGGATACAATATGATAACCTTAAATCCATGTAATAAGAGTTAGCCGAACTTAATAGCTCTTAAAAATATCACAATGAAATGCAAGTACCTCTGGCATGAAAATTACAAATGGATCAGGTGTCTCTGCATCAAACTCCGTACTGTTTGCCCTCTCCAGATCCAAAACCTAAAACATATGACCTATGCAAGGGTAACAAAAGGTGTAAAAAATAATGCCAAAAAAGTATAATTGAAGGAAATCACTTACAGATCTAGCAAACTCAATCACAGATATCTGCATTCCCAAGCAGATCCCAAGATATGGAACTTTATTCTCCCTAGCATACTTTGCAGCCAATATCATTCCCCTCACACCACGATCTCCAAATCCACCAGGAACCAAGACACATGCTGCATTCTGAAAACGTAGTTCTCATTCGTTACTAAAATTTGGTACTAATTCCCAACTTCTTCGTCGAATTTTAATGCTAAAAAAATTCACCAGTACACTGTACAGCCACATACACACATATATACATACAGAGATAGATAGCTATGAGAAAGAGGTGCATAGNTTTTTTTTTGTTAAGTGTGTTAAAACGCACTTGCATGGATGAAAAAGCATGGAAGTGTGTGATATCAATATGTGAACCGAGACTAATTCTGGAGCCAACTTTGGTTTTTCCATGAGATATGAGTTCAACTCAATGAAAAGGGATGACCAACCGGGGTCCAAACAAATGCAAGGGGATCAGGCACACGGACAACCAGAGCACAATGACGGAAATTTAAAATTTTCATCCTTTCAGAAATTAAAGTACCTTGCAAGTATGATTTAGAAGTCCAAACCATTGACAATTTGTTCATAGGCTTCCATTCTGATGCTTATTAAGATATGGTTCTAACAGCCCTGTTGCTGCCAATATAAGACCTACAGTTCAATAATGAAATGTTAAGAGAAACTAAAGATGTTCAGTTGAAAAGGAATTTATCAGAAGACATAAATTACCACCATTACCACTTCCCCCCCCCCCTTTTTTCTTTTTAATTTTTTTGCCCTCTTCTCCCTCCCCAACTTTACACTACAAAGTTCGGGGAAAATTAGAAAGAAAAGGTCATCAAGATTGTTTCTCAAGAGGCCTATAAATGCTCCTAAAAATGTCCACAAAAAAAACAAAAACCAATAACTATGATCCAGCACAAAGGCTTTGTGATACCTCCTATAATGATATGCCTATCATATAAAATACACAGCTCAAGCACAGATAGTGTATTTGGAAATGTAAATCCCTTGACCCAAAAAAAAAATGTTAATCCCTTGACCCAAAAAAAAAATGTAAATCACTTGACCCAAAAAAAATGTTAATCCCTTGACCGATCAGTACCTAGAAATAGAGCTGAAGGCCTGCCAGGCCGTGACTTAAATTCTGGATGAAACTGTGCTCCCACATAGAATGGATGACTTGGAAGTTCTAAAATCTGAAGAACACAGAGACAAAGATCATTAAAAAAAAAAGATAGAGAGAAACAAAATTTAGTTTGTTCTTTCACGCAGATAAAATAGCAAATAGCAATTATAGAGGCTGAAACCACCAAGCTTGAGCACATGATCAAGGTAAACCAAATCCAAGGCAAAAAAGAAAAATGAAAACAAGAAGGGAAGGGCTAGGAGGAAAAAGAAAACAAAACGAGGTGATTGTTTAACTTCGAAACTTCAAAACTATTAATATAGGTGATCTTAAGCCGAGATGACCAGTCTACCAGAAAACCAACCTCCATCCTTTTCCCAGTTTCGTCCTTCCCCACAAATTTTAAGCCAGCTTCCTCTAAAATGCCAACCACCTCTGGGTTCACCTGCACCATACATCTCATGTCTAAGCATATAATTCTATGTGCATGATAATAATATAACATGCCCATCAAAAGTTTTTGTTCAATGAAATCAGGTATCATGTTTAACCTCATATCTATGCCTATGTCGCTCATCCACATACTCTGAATTATGATACCTACAAACAGAAAGAAATTGTATAATTACGAAGCATTTATTTAATCTAAATATTCTCTGTAGCAAAAAATGGAAGCAGTGTATTACAGACCACTGATGCACCAAACAGCAACATGTGATCTGTTAGCAAAGAAAGAAGAACCAGCAAAGACAGAGAAACATAGAACGCAGAATTTAGCGTTCAACCGACATTCTTATATCATGTTTCCCAGAACCCTATATTTCATAATAGCCTTAGTTAAATCTGGGCAAATATTTTGAGGGTTTATTATATACTGCACTAAAGATTACTCTTCGTTAATTTTCCATANGAAAAAAAAAAAGAGGTTGTATAAAAAATTTATGTGTTTGTTTAGAAAAATTATAGCAGAAAGAGAGAAAGGTTGCAACCAAAGTTAAGTTTAATTATATTTTTTAATAAAAAGTATTAAAATAACACCCTATAAGTTTAATTATATTTTTTAATAAAAAATATTAAAATAACACCCTATTTTGACACCTGTTATTAAAACAAATTTATTAATTCAAAAATGCTAAAACACTTTTCAACGTTGCAAATAGATAATATAGCATTCCAAATTGACAACTCCCTTTGGTGTTGCATTGGGGCTTTTTTTTTTGTAAATACCCCAAGCCTTGCACCGAGTCTTCAGAGTTTCAGAATAAGAACTTTATTTCCATTCTTTCTTAACTTCATCGTGTCGTGAATTTCTATGCTTGTAAAACTGAAAAAACAAAGACAAAAAGAATACTAAAATATTAAAGTTTCGTTTTAAAACGATCGAAACAATCAAAAAAACATTTATGTTTTAAAGAAATTGAAACAAAACAATAATTAAATCAAAATTCTAATACTTTGAGTATTTCAAAATATTTTAAGATGTTTTGACATAATTCAACTAATGTTTCATAATATTTCAAATGTATTTCAAGATGTTTCAATATATTTTGATTAATAATTTGAAAATAAATTTTCAAAATTTTTATTCATTTCCATTATGTTTCCGAGACGTTTGCAAAACATTTTCGTTTTTGAGATGACCGAAACAATAAACCGAAACAAAATATTTATCATTGCGAATACTATAACATACTAAGAAGAGAGGTAATGAGGCGAGACAATTGAGGATTCCAATTGCAACCGCCTCTGCAAAATATAATATGCCCATGTTAAAGCACCAAAGCAAAACTTGTATTTAAATTAAAACCCACACATAAGACAGAATTATCAACTACTTCAGTTGCAGGAAGGAGCCCATAGCTTTCTGCAATTTGGTCTCCATTGTATCTCCTCTTAAGGATCCACTTCTCAGAAAACTTAATGTGCAGGTTCTTCAGCTTAGACCAAGGCTGATTTCTGCACCCAAAGGAAAGAGAAAAAAGCATAAATTCAGGATTCAAGCAAGTACCCTCGAGGTTTGCATTAAAATTTTGCACCTGACCAGATAAATAGGCAAAATTACAAGTGCACCCTAGTTGTCACTTAGATAAAGTGTGTGGAATGGCCTCACAGGGCTGTTGATGCTATCATCAGAAAGTCACAGATGGGTAAAGATTGTAGCAGGACACCTTTGTGCATCCAACCAAAGCCCAACCAGATCACGCTATCAAGGGCTAGCTCAATGGCTTCTGGCCCCAACCAATTTAGGTCAGAAGCAGGAGTGAGCAAGGAGAACTTCCAATCTAACCAATTCAAAAGTAGGCGTGTGTGTGAGTGTGTGTGTGAAAACATGTTTTTTTTTTGTTAAGTGTGTTAAAACGCACTTGCATGGATGAAAAAGCATGGAAGTGTGTGATATCAATATGTGAACCGAGACTAATTCTGGAGCCAACTTTGGTTTTTCCATGAGATATGAGTTCAACTCAATGAAAAGGGATGACCAACCGGGGTCCAAACAAATGCAAGGGGATCAGGCACACGGACAACCAGAGCACAATGACGGAAATTTAAAATTTTCATCCTTTCAGAAATTAAAGTACCTTGCAAGTATGATTTAGAAGTCCAAACCATTGACAATTTGTTCATAGGCTTCCATTCTGATGCTTATTAAGATATGGTTCTAACAGCCCTGTTGCTGCCAATATAAGACCTACAGTTCAATAATGAAATGTTAAGAGAAACTAAAGATGTTCAGTTGAAAAGGAATTTATCAGAAGACATAAATTACCACCATTACCACTTCCCCCCCCCCCTTTTTTCTTTTTAATTTTTTTGCCCTCTTCTCCCTCCCCAACTTTACACTACAAAGTTCGGGGAAAATTAGAAAGAAAAGGTCATCAAGATTGTTTCTCAAGAGGCCTATAAATGCTCCTAAAAATGTCCACAAAAAAAACAAAAACCAATAACTATGATCCAGCACAAAGGCTTTGTGATACCTCCTATAATGATATGCCTATCATATAAAATACACAGCTCAAGCACAGATAGTGTATTTGGAAATGTAAATCCCTTGACCCAAAAAAAAAATGTTAATCCCTTGACCCAAAAAAAAAATGTAAATCACTTGACCCAAAAAAAATGTTAATCCCTTGACCGATCAGTACCTAGAAATAGAGCTGAAGGCCTGCCAGGCCGTGACTTAAATTCTGGATGAAACTGTGCTCCCACATAGAATGGATGACTTGGAAGTTCTAAAATCTGAAGAACACAGAGACAAAGATCATTAAAAAAAAAAGATAGAGAGAAACAAAATTTAGTTTGTTCTTTCACGCAGATAAAATAGCAAATAGCAATTATAGAGGCTGAAACCACCAAGCTTGAGCACATGATCAAGGTAAACCAAATCCAAGGCAAAAAAGAAAAATGAAAACAAGAAGGGAAGGGCTAGGAGGAAAAAGAAAACAAAACGAGGTGATTGTTTAACTTCGAAACTTCAAAACTATTAATATAGGTGATCTTAAGCCGAGATGACCAGTCTACCAGAAAACCAACCTCCATCCTTTTCCCAGTTTCGTCCTTCCCCACAAATTTTAAGCCAGCTTCCTCTAAAATGCCAACCACCTCTGGGTTCACCTGCACCATACATCTCATGTCTAAGCATATAATTCTATGTGCATGATAATAATATAACATGCCCATCAAAAGTTTTTGTTCAATGAAATCAGGTATCATGTTTAACCTCATATCTATGCCTATGTCGCTCATCCACATACTCTGAATTATGATACCTACAAACAGAAAGAAATTGTATAATTACGAAGCATTTATTTAATCTAAATATTCTCTGTAGCAAAAAATGGAAGCAGTGTATTACAGACCACTGATGCACCAAACAGCAACATGTGATCTGTTAGCAAAGAAGGAAGAACCAGCAAAGACAGAGAAACATAGAACGCAGAATTTAGCGTTCAACCGATATTCTTATATCATGTTTCCCAGAACCCTATATTTCATAATAGCCTTAGTTAAATCTGGGCAAATATTTTGAGGGTTTATTATATACTGCACTAAAGATTACTCTTCGTTAATTTTCCATAATTGAGTCAAGTAATAGATACAATCTCATACAGCTTTGCAGTGATACAATCAGGGGTCTGAAATAAAGTTCTTCGACAGCCAAGTCTCATTGTGCTTCCCATGTGTGTTTTTGAACCCTGCATAGGTGGATACAATATGATAACCTTAAATCCATGTAATAAGAGTTAGCCGAACTTAATAGCTCTTAAAAATATCACAATGAAATGCAAGTACCTCTGGCATGAAAATTACAAATGGATCAGGTGTCTCTGCATCAAACTCCGTACTGTTTGCCCTCTCCAGATCCAAAACCTAAAACATATGACCTATGCAAGGGTAACAAAAGGTGTAAAAAATAATGCCAAAAAAGTATAATTGAAGGAAATCACTTACAGATCTAGCAAACTCAATCACAGATATCTGCATTCCCAAGCAGATCCCAAGATATGGAACTTTATTCTCCCTAGCATACTTTGCAGCCAATATCATTCCCCTCACACCACGATCTCCAAATCCACCAGGAACCAAGACACATGCTGCATTCTGAAAACGTAGTTCTCATTCGTTACTAAAATTTGGTACTAATTCCCAACTTCTTCGTCGAATTTTAATGCTAAAAAAATTCACCAGTACACTGTACAGCCACATACACACATATATACATACAGAGATAGATAGCTATGAGAAAGAGGTGCATAGTATAGAAGATCATAGGGAGTATAGCAGAAAGTTTAATCACAATAAACAATCACCAACTCAAATCAATTCCAAACAAAGGTCTGCCTCACTGTTGTCGTCTCTGATAATGGGACCTCCATCAATTTTATATTTCTATTCTCTCTATAAAAGTGTGTACAATGTCATCATTTTCAAACCCTTAAATGAACCCTAAAATTGCCAGTAACGGGAAAAATTCAAACAGTTCAGCTCTTTTTTTGTGACTGCAATATGTGTCGTGAGCATATGAATCATACTATATATCTAAAATCAGAAGAGGTCTCAAAACCACAAAGTTCATCGGTTGATTCACCTGGTCGTCAACCGTTGGCCTGATCCAGGGCTCCTTGAAAAACTGGTTTTATGCATGTCACAAACCTCATGGTATGGCAAATTAACAAGTTGTCCATAGAAAGCTTTATGTGAGTAGGTGCAAGAAGGCAAAAAACAGTCTAGTGTATAAAATATCAAGCTTACCCTTAAAGTTTCCCATGCAGTAGCATGCGCTTCAGGTGTCTGGATGAGGAAAACAATCAATAAAATCAGACATAACTCAGAGATAGATACAACAAATATAGCAAAAGATGCAACTGGCAAAAGCTTCATACCAATTTAGCACTATCATCTTCAAGATCCGAAGCTGCAATCCAATCAACTGATGGCTTCAATGAACATGCAATGCAGGCATGCAGAAGGGCCTGCAAGTGAAATTAACCAAAACAATAAGAACTAAGTAGTTAGCATCATACAAGTTTTATTCTAACAAGGACCATTGTTAAATAGCTTCTGCATTAGAAAATGCATTATATCAAAATGATTAGTGGGCAAAATATATCACAAATAGATTTCAACCCTATCATTTCTCCAATGAATACAACATCCCCACATCAAACCAATCATTGTCATAAAACATCCAGATAATGCCTACAAAAACTCCGTATATCTGTGACACTCCACACTGGTGATCAGCCTAACAACTGAAATTGTTTATTTGTTTTTGGTTGGTGCGGTGCATTTCATGCTGCCTCCTAGCATGTTGTACTCATGAGCAACATTTATCTTGTTAGAAACAATTACAATTGCAAAACTAAAACATGGTATTCCCACTATAAGATCAACAGAGGATACATACCATACTTTAGCTCAATAAAGCATGGCATCAAAGATATATTCTAACCTTCACAACAGACAAATATGAATCTGGTAGGCCTACATACTTCCCAACCATTGCAATCCTCACCTGCACAAAGCAACACTTTTTCATTTGCTAACAAAAAAGAAACATTTCAGAAGAGAACAATACAGGCAAATGCTACTAACAGAATTGGTAAGGTTATCAAAAGTCTCTGCCCTTTTGGTCCACTCTTGTAAATCAGGAGGTGCAGCGACACTGAAACATAAACCTTATGAACAGTCAGATGACTTCAACCTTCTAGCAATTGATACTTTGTTCAACATTAACATCGCAAGTAAGTTTAACTGGCAGCAATTATATTATGATCATCATAGATTAAAACTTTCAGATGCCTCAGCCAAGTTCATATAGTTGCAGGAAGAAAACTTTAGTATCAGAAAAAGCAGCAAAAGTCAGTCCAAATCAAATTTTCACTCTCACTCGTCTCCTTGACTGTGAAGAATATCAGATATGTGACACAACCTGATATGACTTAGAGCCCTAAACATCAGGTGTTGTATACAGTTCAAAAGAAAGCTTACCTAAGTAAGTTTAGCTGTCTTAAAATGGCATCATGAGCATTTTGGTTCTGAAACAAAAGTGTGATGTCAAAACTCATGTATAGAATACCATATATATTCAAAAAGATACAGTAGCAGTAAGAACTCAAAAGAAATCACCCACCCGAAGCAAAAGAGGAACATGCCAAATGTTTGGAACATCATGGATATTAAGAATATTACCAACCTGTGGAAGACCAAAAATCCTCAGTGTGAGAACAAATTCCATTTGAGAGGTCAGAAGCAAACCTCATACGTAACAACTTACAGCAACATGGCAAAACTGTGAAAGTTTCTGCTTCGTACTTTCCAATAAAGGCTGCCACATATTCGGAAACCATATTTCATCCCTCAAAATGTCAGCAGCACAATAGAAACAGTGACATGAAAATAAATGACAGTAATTGATGGCCAATGGTTAAGTCCAAACAAGAAGGATAAAGTACACAAGCAACAACATATTGCATCAACAGTGAACTTGCTAAAATCACTCCAATCCATAAAATCCTTTGCACATGGAATTAGATGATGCACAGATGAAACCACATACCTGAGCAGAACGACATGCCAAGAAATGAGGAGTCAAGCCTAACGCTCTCAATTCCCGTACACTATGTTGTGTAGGCTTCGTTTTCTACATGCACGTGCATACACACACGCACGCAGACACACAAAAGAGAAGGTTAGAAAATATAACAACTTTAATCACTGCAAAGAAATTCACACCACAAGGATATAATAAAGCTTGCAAATTACAAATGCCATTAAATATTAAGGCATGGAGTATTACTTGCTCACCCACAACACCAAGTACAGGTATAAGGCTCACATGAATGAGGCAGAAGTTATCTTGCCCTGAGGAGGGAATTCAAATAAAATAACATGAGCACATAATTGAAACTTCGACAAAATGAAAACTCAAAACACAGGTGCACAAACACATTATACAGCAATAACATGTCACTATCTGTGTCCACTAACACTGGAAATAAATATAAATAACTAATAATAAATCACAAATGGATATCCAAATCTCTCTATTGCCCAGCCCCATTAACATAGGAATAAAACAGTTCAATGATCATAAAACAAGACTAATGAATTTACAAAAGTTCCACGAAATTCAACTACACAATCCTGCTTGCAAAGTATCTTGTAAAAAAACATACAGAGCTCCTTCATCACAATTCCAGTTTTTTGAGAGCACTATTGAAAAGTTCCAAAATGATGTAGGCTAAGCGGCACATGGGCAATTTTTGGAACCAACCAGTGTCTAATAACAGAAAATGATGCAACCTTACCAACTGAGAAGAATAGTTGTCGCAAAGCCTCTATGAACGGCATTGACTCAATGTCACCTAAGAAGAAAAATACTATGAATCATCTCTGGCAGAGAGTAAAACATATAAGAGGGAAGTGGGGAGAGTGAGATTTTATTGTATAAGAAATCTCTTACCAACAGTTCCTCCCAATTCTATCACACAAACATCTGCTGGGCCCTCTTTCCCATCCACGGGGATGACAGAAACTAACTCTACCCAGTTTTTAATGGCATCTGTGATGTGTGGGACCACCTGAAATTCACTCACAGGCAAAAATACAGTGAGCAATACATCTTCTAGCATTTTCAAATAATAACTACCAAGAATTGGTAAATGTAACATCACCTGAACAGTCTTTCCAAGATAATCGCCTCGCCGCTCCTTGTCAAGTACAGACTGATAGAAAAGAAAATGAACAGCTTGATTGAGTGAGCTTCTACATATCAAGAGAGTGATAAATTAGAATCAAGATGATATTGACATGCACCTGATATATCTTTCCAGTGGTAATGTTGTTGTCCCTTGTAAGGGTCACATCTAAGAAACGTTCGTAGTTACCCAGGTCAAGATCAACCTATTAAGAAACCATAACTTCTTGTGAGAATGTTGTAGATAATTTAGCATATAGTAAATTCATGAATGCAGGTGAACAATCAGCAAAACATTGAATATTCATGAAAAATAAATTTTCAATTTTCAATTTTATGATCTTAAATGTCCATCATTAAACTACTAACAGTATTAACCAAATTAAGCATGCTGTGATCTTAGTATCCATCGCAGTAAATTAGGAACACTATTAACCAAATTAAAAATCAGCAGAGGAAAATTACAGCTTTTATTCAATTTCATCACACTTGCTAGTGTTAAAGACATCCTTCTAAAGATCCTGTCATAGAAAATTTGGGGTCTCAAAAACATATACTTTATATGGAAATAAATAGGATGGAATCTATTGGCTTGAATAAAGAGCAGGTTTGAAGACGTTGGACCGAAGGAAACAAAAAAAAAAGAACCTATTTTTGCAAGATTAACCGCCATTATCAAATCCCATTCTGCGGTAGACAGAAGCTACTCTCATATAAAGATGCTATTAATAAAGGAATAAGAAAGAACCTCTCCACCGTCATCAAGAACAAAAACCTCTCCATGTTCAAAAGGAGACATGGTGCCAGCATCTGTGTTCAAATATGGATCTGCAATTCTTAAAACAATTACCGAAGATGATATCATCAAAACATACTTTTAACATCAAATTTCGTGATAATTAAACGACTACAGAACCAATGAAGCGAATGAATGCATGATCCACACAGTTGCAAACAAACGTAATTACCCATGATGATGCATTAGCAACACTACTACAAACTAAGAACCGTGTAAAGACCCATGACCAGCATGTGAAACTAGTTTTCAATCTTTTCATAAATCTATGATCAGCGTATAAAGAGAAAACATAATTCACTCTCAGATAAAATAGAAAAAATAAAATAATTGAGGAAGCAATTCCCAAGAAAAAACATCAGTAAGAACAATAAATCAACAGAAAAAGGGCAAGAAGAGTAATCAAAAAAAAAAAAAAATTGCCTCTAAACATAGTAGGATAAAGATGAAACAAGATTCAATATTTTTAGTTTCTTTTGAGTCAAAAACAGAAGATAACCTATTTTAATGGAAGTGACGCGAAGACCACAGGCTTTGAGGACTACACCGACGCTACTCGCAGTAACGCCCTTGCCCAATCCGCTCACCACTCCTCCCGTTACCAATACGTATTTCATCTCTCTCTCTTTCTCTCTCTCTCTCCGGCTGCTTATGTGCGCCAAACGTTTGTGTAAATGTCCGGGCGNTTTTAATGGAAGTGACGCGAAGACCACAGGCTTTGAGGACTACACCGACGCTACTCGCAGTAACGCCCTTGCCCAATCCGCTCACCACTCCTCCCGTTACCAATACGTATTTCATCTCTCTCTCTCTCCGGCTGCTTATGTGCGCCAAACGTTTGTGTAAATGTCCGGGCGGGAAAAAAGGAGTTATACTAAAACCCCAAGGAGTCTCCCACAGAGGACACTCAGACCCAAGGCCGTTGTCATGTCGCTCCCCAATTTATACTGAAACCCAAAGGAGTCTCCCACTTGAGGCCTCAGCGCAAGTCCACGTGAAAAAGGAGTCATTAGAGGCTTGGACAACAAGAGTATAGGGCGGCGGGTTTGGATATTTTGATTTGTAACTTTTTCAACTTCAGTGTTACTTTTAATAATCAACTGTTGAATTAACCTGAGGCCATGAAGTACAAGTGCTATAACTACACACAATCATGCCAAACACCCCCCCCCCCTTCCTTCTCTTTCTCAAATTGTACACAAAATAATATTTAAAATTGAGCAAACGTTGTCCTAATAACAAGAATAGGATATTGATTGACAATTGCAAGAGAATGCTAAAAAATACTAACAACACAATTATGCATATGTTACGTGAAGAAAACAACTATGCAGACACCCTCGCTAACATAGGGGTTCGTCAAGATGACAAGTTTGTTCACTTGAGTTGTCCTTTGGAGAAGATAAGGATGACACTTGAGGTTGATATGGCTAGCAATTCTTTTATTAGGGAACATTCGTGTTTAGTGTTGAATTAACGGAAGGTCATAAAATAAAAGTGTTGTAACTACAAAATTATGCCAACCCCCTCTCTCCTTTGTTTCTTCTCTTTCTGAAATCGCTCACAAAATAATATTTAGAATTGATTAAATTCAAAAAGTTACGGTACAACAGATGTGACAGATTGTTTACTTCTCTTTTATTTTAGAGGATAATTTTGTACGACAAACTCGTCATTTTGCTAAAATTGCCTAAGGTTACCACTTTTACTAAGTCAATATGCTTTCGTCCTTAGCTCCGTTTCAGTAATGGTATGGAACCTATTTGAGCTCATACTGTTTAGAAGATGGTTCCGGAGCAATATGGAGCCAAGTATATCCCTCGAACATGCCTTCAAATTCAACTATTCAAAAATACTTTCTCCATCTCAAGACCTCAGCGCGACACGTTTTATTATTTTTTAGGAAAATTTTAATTACACCTCTTCTATTTTATCATATCTTTAAAGACACTCTCTCAATTTTTTAAATATTCAATGATACTCTTTGTCAGATTAAAAATGTTAATTAAAATGTAATTTTACTAAATTGTCCATGATATATNCTCAAGACCTCAGCGCGACACGTTTTATTATTTTTTAGGAAAATTTTAATTACACCTTTTCTATTTTATCATATCTTTAAAGACACTCTCTCAATTTTTTAAATATCCAATGATACTCCTTGTCAGATTAAAAATGTTAATTAAAATGTAATTTTACTAAATTGTCCATGATATATTTAGGAAAAACTTCATCTACATTCCATCTAGATAGATATATCTTCAATAAGACCCCGTTTGTTTTAAAAAAAAAATTATGTATTAAAATTTAGACCAATTAAAATTTGATTCAATCTAATTTTTGATTTGATCTAATTGAAATTTGAGTTAATTAAAAATTATATTTTTTTACGTTTTAAAATTTGAACCGATTAAAATTCTATTCGAGCTGATTATATCAAATTTTAATAAANAAAAAAAAATTATGTATTAAAATTTAGACCAATTAAAATTTGATTCAATCTAATTTTTGATTTGATCTAATTGAAATTTGAGTTAATTAAAATTATATTTTTTTACGTTTTAAAATTTGAACCGATTAAAATTCTATTCGAGCTGATTATATCAAATTTTAATAAACTCGCATTGAATTTTAATCTGTCTGAATTTTGATATAAAAAAGAAATTTAATCGACTTAAATTTTAATACGTAAAAAATAAATTTTAATCAACTTGAATCGAATTTTAATTAGCATGAATTTTAAAAAGTAAAAAAATATAAATTTTAATCGATTCAAAACAAATTTTAATTGTTGCTAATAGCTCAAGTAGAGCTCAAATTGGTTTGAATTTTAATGCATAAAAAAGAAATTTTAATAGGTTTAAATTTTAATACGTAAATAAAATAAATTTTANGAATTTTAATGCATAAAAAAGAAATTTTAATAGGTTTAAATTTTAATACGTAAACAAAATAAAATTTAATCAACTCGAATCGAATTTTAATTAATTCAAATTTTAATATGTAAAAAAAAAAAAATTTAATCAGCTCAAATTTTAATATGTAAAAAAATAAATTTTAATCAACTCAAATTTTAATTAAATTTTATGTAAAAAAAATTGTTTACAATTTATGTAGGGACATTTTTAGTATTTTAGATTTTTTTTTTAGAAATAATGGTTTAATGGCGGGGGGGTGTCAGTGATTTTTATATATAAACTAAAAAGAGTGTCAATGATGTTTTTGATAATAGAAAGAATATTTTTAAAAATATAATAAACTATTAAGGGTGTGAGTGAATTTTTTTCGTTTTTTCTTTTATTTCAAATGCTCTATGCTTGGTGCAATTTCAATATTCTTGGAATTGGATGCTTTGCGCTGAAGATTGTTGCCACCCTACCAAGTGTATAGCATTCAATGTTTCATGTTGTTTTCAACTGTTTTTAATTGGGCTTTATTCGAAAAACAATGGCCGGCAAGCATTTCTTATTTAGTTCAAACCTCATATTTGGACCTAATCTGGATTATGACTTTTAAGGATATGATTGTTTTTACCCGACAAAAATTCAAAACAACCTTAGAATATGATCCGTTCACCCTTTTTTTTTTTGGGTAATGCGAAAGCTTTTTTTTATTGTTTTTTTAGTGCTCCATTTGGCACAATGAAAAAATGGAAGAATAAAAAGTTGAAATGATGGAAAGTTGAGGGAATAGATAAAACATCATGTTTTGTAAGAAAGAAAAATAGGAAGGATGAAAAAGTTGATGGATTAATTTTCCTTCCAACTCACCAAAATTAATCCCTCTAAAATTAGAAGGAAAATGGATGGAAAGTTAATTATTTGTATCGAGATGTATCTTATTTATCTATATATATACTATGTATACATTAATTTCATATAAAAATATAATGATAAAATATATATATATATATATTTATTTATTTATTTATTTTAATTTTTTTTATTTTAACTAGGGATGAAAATTTTTGACTCAACACGATAATACGACTCGAACTCAACAAAAATTTTATGACACGAACATGATTATAACTCAACACGAACTTGAAAATAACCTGACATGCAAACAAGAAATATAAAAGGTTCATAATTTTATGACTCAACACGAATTTATTACGACACGATTCGATTGTTAACTCTAATCTTAGCCATCACAAAAAAAAATTAACAAAAAAATTATTTATTTTTATTTTCCATCCATTCAACTAAACATTAAAAAAAAAGTGTATCATTCCTATTTTCTATCCTTGAAGGATAGAAAATATCCGTTTGGTAGGGAGAATGAAAAGTAAGAATGATAGAAAGTAGAAATAATGAAAAGTAGGAGGGATACATTTTCTATCATTCAAGGATGAAAAATAAAAACGATACATTTTCCTTCCTTTGTTTTTGGTTGAATGGATGAAAAATAAAAATGATTATTTTTTTTTTTTGGTGTTAGCTAATATTAGAGATGACAATCAAGTTAAGCTGTGTTGTGTCAGATTCGTGTTGAGTCATTACGAGTTTGTGTCGAATATTATTCAAATTTAACTTAACTCATTTAACTAATTATATCGTGTCGAATTGCGAGTTGACCTGTTTATTTTTGTATCGAATTCGAGTCGTATCATCGTGTTAAGTCGAAAATTTTCACCTTTGATTAAGATGGAAAAAATATATATATTTTTTATTTTTTAAAAATTTTATTTTTAAAATTTTTTAAAATATATATACATATTTTATCATTGTATTTTATATGAAATTAATGTATACATAAGATATATAGACAAATAAGATACATCTTAACATAAATAATTAACTTTTCATCAACTTTTCTTTCAATTTTGGAGGGATTGATTTTGGTGAGATGGAAGAAAAGTTAATTCATCTATTTTTTTATCCTTCCTTCCTTCCTTACCAAGTACGATATTTTATTTATCTTTCTAATTTTTTATCTTTCTATTTTTCTATCGTACCAAATGAAACATCATATTTTCTACTTTTTATCCTGCCTACCAAACGAACATGCGAGGTACCCTACACGGTCCATGGGGTTGGGCAGCTAGTCAACGTGTCGAAACTGGGCCAGGCTAGACCATTCGGAACTAATATGGCTCTGTTCATTGGATCGATTTATTTAATGGAGAATTGCAGAGGAGCATACTATACATAGCTTATTTGTCTTTATATAGTTTATGCTCCGGTTGGTAGTCAGTATGAAAAGTACGGGGAATGAAAAGTACGAGATATATACATTTTATCATTCAAATAAAGGAAGTATAAATAATATATTTTTTTTTTATTTTTGTTTTGTAGGATAGATGAAAAATAAAAGTGATTAATTTTTTTTTATGCTTGATAAAATGAAAAAAAAATATATATATATAATTTAAATTTAAATTTTTTTAAAATATAAATACATATTTTATCATTATATTCAATATAAAATAATCATAAAAAATATTTCAACACAAATAATTAACTTTTTATCTATTTTCTTTTTAATTTTAAAGAGATTAATTTTAGTGCGGTGAAAATAAAACTTATTCATTTACATTTTCTATCTTTCTTCACCAAATATGATATTTTTCCTATTTCTTAAACTTTTCATCGCATCAACTGAGCATTAGACTTTCAACCATTAAGTCCCTTTGTCCTAAATATTTTGTTGAGGATGTAAACATTTACGGTTTGTATATTTGTATATTATGTAATTGTTCTTAACTTAAATTTGTGTCGGTGTGTTTTAGGTAAGGCTGACAATTTTGTCAGGTGGGATTGTTTCATGTTGTTTGAAATGAGTTTGTATAAAATAATATTTCATTCATTTATATAAACGAATTAAACTATCACACTCGTATACGGTTCGTTTATTATATAAGTTATCCGACACAATTTGTGTGTCATCCGTTAAATAAGAGAATCAGTTAAAATATTTTGAGTTTACATGAAAAATTACCAATTCGTCACATATTATACATGTTTGATTTGTTTATTATAATAATAAATTATGATTAAATAAAAATATAAAGACAAAAAAAATAAATATTAAATTACTACAAAATTTAAATGAGATTGAGATATAAGAGGCGTGAAATGAAGCAAGGCCGAAAAACTTAATTTTTTTTTAGAATTTATAGTATCACTGTTAATGAGTTAAATGGGTTGAAATGAGTTTTTATATTAAATATTAACGGATCTATTAATTTAATCCGTAAACTATCTGTGCTTGTTAAAATTATACCAAAATCTATTAAATTCTTGGTGTCGATTTTACGGAAGACGTCTAAGATTGGCAGGCATTCTTTTACGTATTGCCCAGACCACGGTGAAGCATTAACTCGAAGCCTGGCTTTTTTATTTATACAAGCCCGAAAAACAAAAAGCCCAAAACCAATGTCACTTGTGACTTGAAACGTGGCCCTCAACTATTGGATGAAACAAGTGGGAGACTTCTGTCATTGGTCAGTTTTGGCAAGAACACGTTGCAAGCAAAGCGAAGTCAGTCGTTGATGCCCTGTGGTTCATGTTTATTGTTCATCCCTCTTCGCTTCATGTTTTACACAGAGGGAAAAGACTCGTCAAATTNCAAGAACACGTTGCAAGCAAAGCGAAGTCAGTCGTTGATGCCCTGTGGTTCATGTTTTATTGTTCATCCCTCTTCGCTTCATGTTTTACAGAGAGGGAAAAGACTCGTCAAATTGCCACAGGAACGACCGTTGATCTCTCAGGAGAGAGAGAGAGAGAGTTCAGACAAGTTCGTAGCCATTTGTACGTTTTATTGCGGCGAGCAAAGCGATCGAACAGAAAACCCTAGGTTCTCAGTAGGGAGATCCAATCTCTCCCCTGATCTCTGTGCCTAAGCTCAATGGCGAATCGAAGATCAAAACTATTGGTGCTATTGTGCTTTTTATCGTGCGCTATAATTGCAATTGCAGGGTTAGTGTGGAAGGTCTCATTCATCTGTATCACCTTCATGTTTTTCTTTGGTTCTGATTGAACAATTGGATGATTGCAGGAAGAGTTATTATGATATTCTTCAAGTGTCAAAGGGTGCTTCAGACGAGCAGATCAAGAGAGCCTATCGGAAGCTCGCATTGAAGTATCATCCGGATAAGAACCAGGGGAATGAGGAGGCTAATAAGAAATTCGCTGAGATAAATAATGGTATGCTAGATATTATGCTAATTTTTCGATTGTTTTTATTTCAATATCCTCTCTTGTATCTTAAGTAATCTAATTTTTTTATATTGATTGGTTGATTATCAGCTTATGAAGTACTATCGGATACTGAAAAGAGGAGTATATATGATAAGTATGGTGAAGAGGGTCTCCAACAGCATGCTGCCAGTGGTGGTGGTAGAGGCGGGGGTATGAACATTCAAGACATTTTTAGCTCGTAAGTTGATTTCTCTTGGTTCCTTTTTGCTTAGAAAATGCATCTTGCTTATTGAAACTTGACCTTTAATGCATGAAAACCTTGATACTGATGATCCTCCTATAACTGAATGTTGGATGGTTCTAATAAATCTGACGAATGTGTTTTACTCAATATAAGATCGATGTTGATTTGAGTAGCTGGCTGTTCTAATCAAAGAATAGTCATTGCATAGCATAAATTTTCCAACAATTTGTGGTCAACAGTCACTCTTGCATGGTGGTAATCATTACATGTAATCTATCTTATCTGATTGTTACATATGAATGTGATCCTTCATTTACAACATGATATCATTTTGAGTCTTATATGAACTAGTATCATCCTTATAACCTATATCTGGCTGTCACTGTGTGTTTAAAAACTGATATTATAATATGCATTTTTCCCTTTTATGGTATATAAAACCATCAAACTTGAGTTGAATGTTGTTATTCTTTGTCGTTATGGTGACAACTAATTTTAAGATGGAAAGTTTGTTTCAATATTCTCTGTCATTTCTGACAAGATGAAGTTGTCTTCTAGTTTTTTTGGTGGGGGTCAAATGGAAGAGGAAGAGAAGATTGTGAAAGGTGATGATGTAATTGTCGAGTTGGATGCAACACTTGAGGATTTATATATGGGAGGATCATTGAAGGTATGTAATATGTTATATTGTTTCCACCCCAAAATGAATGAATCATCTGCTTTTATCTGACATTATAGCTGCTATAGTGAATAATATCTGAAGCTTAATATTGGCCACCTTATGTGAATGTTGTCAATAATTATGAGTAATGGTTGTTAGATTTGTCCAACCTTGAGATTCTGACATGGGGACACAATTGAATTTTTGGAAGCGCTTATTTTTCTTTCTTTTTAAGTTAGGATATTGTGGAAGTTGCAGGATCACTTCATTCATTTTTCCTCACAGGTAGTACTATCAGCCTTACACATGGGGCACCTAGAAAGTGTCTATCATTGGTCACACTTATTACCTTTAGTGGCATCACACTTTTTGAAAGAGCTAATGCTCTAAGCAATTTGTAGCTATTATCTTAATTAAAGCAACAAAGACTTCAGAATGGATCTTCTNTTATTACCTTTAGTGGCATCACACTTTTTGAAAGAGCTAATGCTCTAAGCAATTTGTTGCTATTATCTTAATTGAAGCAACAAAGACTTCAGAATGGATCTTCTTTACTATGTTAGTATGAACTCCGTATGACCTCGAGATGTATATTCTGCTGTTGTATTGACTTGACTGGTTTAGGGCTTTGCATACTTTGAGGCACTTTGCGGCTATTATTTCATTTGTATTCTATAATGTGAAATCCGTCAGGTTTGGAGGGAGAAAAATATTTTAAAACCAGCCCCCGGTAAGAGAAGCTGCAATTGTCGAAATGAGGTCTATCACAGACAAATTGGTCCGNTGACTGGTTTAGGGCTTTGCATACTTTGAGGCACTTTGCGGCTATTATTTCATTTGTCTTCTATAATGTGAAATCCGTCAGGTTTGGAGGGAGAAAAATATTTTAAAACCAGCCCCCGGTAAGAGACGCTGCAATTGTCGAAATGAGGTCTATCACAGACAAATTGGTCCGGGGATGTTCCAGCAGATGACAGAGCAGGTATATTATTCCTCTTGACAATCTTGCGGTAGAAAACCCTCCAACGACCCCTTTTTTTGGTCTAGTGCTTATCCAAACCCATCCGGGGTTGTTTACATTTGGACTTTCTGAACCCTCTGATATCTCCTTGTAGGTTTGTGACCAGTGCCCAAATGTAAAATATGAAAGAGAGGGGTATTTTATCACTGTGGACATTGAGAAAGGGATGCAAGATGGGCAGGTAAGCTTCTCCTCTTTTTCTTTTTCTTTCTTTTTTTTTTTCTAATAAAAGGGAAAGGAAACAAAACATACTCAATTATAGTAAAAGTGATCGTCATACTTCCATGTTTTTGCTGAATGAAAATAGTTTGTGTTGCCCCTCCCCCTTCCCTCATTAATTTCCTTTTTGAATGATGTTTTTATGCATGAGTGATTTCAGAAAATTGCCTTGGTTGCAAAGTCCAACTTTATGGAGATTATCGGATACTTCGTCCCCTAAAGCAATCTTGGAATTTGGATATTTCATCAAAGTTGGTGACGACGATTTAAATCTAGCGATAAAAGTTATGAGAAACTTAGTTGTGGTGGCTGCAAAGTGCCAAAGCCTATTGAAAGGCTTGTACACCTTGTCAATTTTTTTTTCTTCTGATCTAAATGGAATCAAGGAGAAATCATATTTTGTTCGCAAATTTTAGTTAACACATTTTTCAACCTCTACATGTCAAATATGACGGATGATGGTGTGGAGGAGCCTGGCCATTAAGGAATCACTTAGATATGTTGATTACTATGTTGCTTTCTTGCCTAGGATTGGTATTTGTATGCCTGTACTACTTAAGGAAATGACATTTTATGTAATTCAGAATGATTCAAGATAATACTTATTCAACGAGGGGAAAAAATAAAAAAAACTGATTCAAGATTTAATTGAGTCAATGATTCATGTATAACTATCTAAGAGGTGTCCAGGTTTACATCATAGGATTATTGGTAAGATACACCTTGTATTTGCATGATCTCATTCTAAGCTTCAATGCAACAGTGAGAATATTTTCCTTTTTTTCCCCTCTTCTTTTTCCTTTTCTTCAGAATATCCTTAGGATAGGATAGCACTTACGTCTCTTTTTGCAGGAGGTGGCCTTCTACGAAGATGGTGAACCCATAATAGATGGTGAATCAGGGGATCTTAGGGTCAGATCTTTGTCCTTGGCTTTGTATTGTACCTACTTAAATTTAAATTTTGCACTAACACTACTATCAAATTTGGGCAGTTTCGGATTCGCACTGCACCCCATGATCGCTTCAAAAGGGAAGGCAATGACCTGCATGCAACTATTACGATAACTCTGGTAATTTTTAATCTCACTTGCTGATCTGGTGCATTACTCAGTGAGATCAACATGGGTATGGCTATGGCATGTCTGTTCCTTTTGAGTTGAACAGACTTTTATTGTCAATTTTCTATTTACCAGTAACCATTTAAGAAATTCGAAGGCCAGTCAGCTTAGAATATTTGGCTCTAATTCATTTCAAATTTTCCTGTAAATCAGACATTTTCGGGGATACTGAAGTGATTATTGAGTTTGTTTGGTCTTGAAAAAGGTAGTGGAATGCCTATAAACCTAGCTTAGTATCCTTTAGAAATTCCAATACAGCCCCCCTTTACAATGTTTAAGCACGGGCAACTCCTACTTGATCCTGTGGGATAGGGAAAAATCTGAAGAGAAAAGAAAAAAAAAAGGGGGGGGGGGGGGTTTAAGGGAACCCCCTCCTCATGTACATCAAGATCAATTTTATCTAAGAAATTCACTTACTTACCCAAGAAAAAAANGGGGGGGGGGGGTCGACTGATATTAATTGTGCCAAAATACATGGAGTTAAGTTGACTACCATGTAGCTTGCAAAGACCCTATGGAGAATGTGGTCAGAAATCCATCATGGAGTCCGGCTGATATTAATTGTGCCAAAATACATGGAGTTAAGTTGACTACCATGTAGCTTGCATAGACAAGTGTTAAATCCTATGCGGATTAGAAGTTTTTTTACATTTAACTTGAGAGAAGTTATTTGTCCTGTGTNTATTAATTGTGCCAAAATACATGGAGTTAAGTTGACTACCATGTAGCTTGCAAAGACAAGTGTTAAATCCTATGCGGATTAGAAGTTTTTTTACATTTAACTTGAGAGAAGTTATTTGTCCTGTGTGGGGTAGCATAAGAAGTGTGGCGTTTAGAAGAGGATGTTTATTAAACTTGCTTTCCAGTATCAAGTTATTATGGATATGCCTATAGGTCATTTGGTTTCTCATCATATATGGTTGCTCTCTTTTTCAAAATACTAAATTAAATTAAGAATAATAGTTTCTATAGTTAACCATTTGTTGTTTGTTGAGTTTACTGGTGTTGGATGANTTGGGGTAGCATAAGAAGTGTGGCGTTTAGAAGAGGATGTTTATTAAACTTGCTTTCCAGTATCAAGTTATTATGGATATGCCTATAGGTCATTTGGTTTCTCATCATATATGGTTGCTCTCTTTTTCAAAATACTAAATTAAATTAAGAATAATAGTTTCTGTAGTTAACCATTTGTTGTTTGTTGAGTTTACTGGTGTTGGATGCGCATTATCGAATTAAGAGAGATGGAATTGGTCCAAGGTGTAAGAAGTTTTCATATTTGGTTATAAGCAAAGTGATTGCTTCTTCGGCCTAAACCAAGAAATCCCTTAGATATGAATCATGATGCAAAATTGATTGTGACGATGTAATACTGAGGAGAGGACAAATGGTGCAACCTCAAACCAACCCCCCCCCCCC